GGTGAAAGAGAAGTGTAACTTAAGTATTTATGTAGAGGAAGAAAGAGTTGGGGTGGTGATGTCAGCGTGGGGCAGGTGTTCTTGGGTCTTGTGATGTGGCTGAACCATCCAAGCTCCTCTAACAAAGTCACCATGAGATGTAGAGACAACTGTGGTAAACACTGAGGAGAAATGTGCATTTGGAGTGAGAAACTAGCTTTAAATTATTAAGATGTAGCCTGACTGAGGTTGATAAATGGGTGCGACATCCCAGGAGAGATCATAAATTAACAGTCCAAGAGTGGACCTGCAGAACCAACATTCAAGTGGAGTAGAGGACGCGGAGGGGGTTGAGAAAGGAGGTCTGGGGAGCAGACAAAAACAGCGCCCCCAAAGCCAAGGGAGATGGACTTCAGGAAGACACTATGACTTATGGCACTTGGGGTTGGGACCGTCACTCAGTGGCGATGCTTGCATGATACTCAGATGCTCCGGATTTCATATGCAGTATTGAGAAAAAAATCATAGAAGTTACCAACCAAAAGCCACTGACTTTGGAAAGTCATTGGGAAAGTAGAGGCAGAAACAGAAGAGCAGCAGGTTGAAATACGCAGTGGGCGTGAGGAGTGGTCTAGGGCTGCTTCTCTAAGGATGGAAGAGGTGGCTGTTTGTCGACTGCAGGGAACAGTGTAGTAGAAAAGGAGAAATTAGAGATGTGCCAGGGAGCACAGCAATGAAAAACGACATCTGTGGAAATGGAGTCAACCACAGAGAGTGGGCAGGGTAATTCTGGAGCCCTGCTTATAGAAGAGAGGACTTAATCAACCAACTGCTGTCATATGAGGTCGCTTGTTCGTTCCAGCCCAGCAGTTCAGACCTGAAATAATCACACAGAAACTATATTATTTAAAACACTGCTTGGTCCATTAGCTCTAGCTGCTTATTGGCTAACACTTATATCTTAATTTAACCCATTGCTAGTAATCTGTGTATCGCCATGTGGCTGTGACTTACCAGGTAAAGTTCCCAGCATCTGTCTCCAACTACATAGCTTCTCTTTGACCCCACTCTTCTTTCTCACAGCATTCAGTTTAGTTTTCCCTACCTAGCTCTGTTCTACCCTGTCAGGCCAAGCCAGTTTCTTTATTCTTTAACCAATAAAAGCAACACATAGACAAAAGGAAGAATTCAATTCAATTCAAATAAGAATTACACTTACAGCCAGGCAGTGGTGGCGCACGCCTTTAATCCCAGCACTCGGGAGGCAGAGGCAGGCGGATCTCTGTGAGTTCGAGACCAGCCTGGTCTATAAGAGCTAGTTCCAGGACAGGCTCCAAAGCCACAGAGAAACCCTGTCTTGAAAAACCAAAAAAAAAAAAAAAAGAATTACACTTACAATATTTATATATACTTTATCTTTTATTACTTGTAAGTAAAGTTATATTATTACTATCTACTCTTCAACTCCATCAAAGACTCCAGAAGGATATAATATTACCTAAGTAAACAGGAAGTGCATTGTAAGCAACTTCTAGAATTGACAGAGACATCTTGCTGCCTGGACAGTCAGTCACCCAAAGTTCTTCTGTAACATTGGGGCATCCATCTTCAGCCTACTGGTCCATAGTATCCAGCAGACTTTTCCATGAAACAGGACATTTCAAAGACAGTTCCACCTATAATGGTAGTTTACCAGTCACTTTCTTCTGGTGATATACACTTTTAATCCCAATACTTGGGAGACAGAGGCAAGTGGATATCTGTGAATTAAAAGCCAACCAGGTCTACAGAGTGAGTTCTGGAACAGCCAGAGTAGTTACACAGAGAAGCTCTGTTTTGAAAAACAAAAGGCAAAAAAAAGAAAAGAAATTAATTTTTGACATCTAGCTAATGATTATAAAGTATAATTTTGATGGTAGTTGTGGCAAGGGGAGAAGTGTGCTCTATACCCCCTTACTCTAAGGCTGTCAGGAAGTATGGTTGAAGCCTGGCAGGATGGTAGGTGCCTGCAGCCCAGCAGTACTAAAGGAAGCGAAACAAACAGCCTGGCAGCATAGTAGAGCAAGAGGGAGATGTACACCTGGGTCATGGTAGACAGAAGCAATACAGAGCCAGCACACCTACTGTGTGTGCAGTACTCCGCCCAATAGAGAGGAACATGGTGACTCAGAAACTGACGTGCCTGGGAGCCAGTCCAGCCTTCCTGGAAGCTGGAACTGAGCTAGCTATCAGGAGCCTCTGAGTGATCAGAAGTTCAGATTTGTGGGGTCTTCTGCTTTGTAGTTTATCACAAGGAAACGGGTACATTTTGGAACTACTTTTTCAATTAAATAAACACAATTTCATCACATTATGGCTATTTTTTAGGTATTAGAAATTTATTTTTAGGGGTTAAAAATATAATTTAGTTGGTAGAGAACTTGCCCAGAAACGAAGGAGCCCTAACTTTGATCCCCAGCATTGCTGAAGCTGGGTATGGTGTTGCTTGTCTGGGAGGCAGAGACAGAAGGGTTAGAAGTCATAGGCTAGCCCCAACTACATAATGAGTTGTGGGCCACTCTGGGCCACATGCATGACTCCCTGCCTTTAAAAGAAACAAAACAAAAAACTAGTGGGTTATTTTTTTTTTCATTTATTCTTTTCTCATACAGTATATCCCAACCACAGCCTGTTCGCCAGCTCCTCCCAGTCCCATGCACACATCCCCTATCCCCCAGATCCACTGCTCCTCCATTTTCTTTCAGAAAAGAGCAGGGCTCCCAGGGACATCAACCAAAAATGGCATAACAAGACACAAAAAGACTAGGCACAAACTGTCATAGCAAGGCTTGACAAGGCCACCCAATAGGAGGAAAAGTTCCCAAGAACAGGCAAAAAGAGTCAGAGACAACCCCACTGTTAGGAGTCCACAAAAGCCTCAAGCTAAACAACCTCAGCCTGTCTGCCGAGGACCTGGTGCAGACCTCTGCAGGCTCCTCTGTGTTTGTTGCTTCAGTCTCTGAGAGTCCCCATGGGCCCTGCCTAGTTGATTCTCCTAGTGTTCTCAACCCCTCTGGGCCTTATAATTCTTCCTCCCCCTCTTCCTTGGGGTTCCCTGAGCTCTTAAGGTTTGGCTATGGTGTCTACATCATCAGCTGATGGCAGTATCCCATCACCCGCCAAAGGAAGCCTCTCTAATGGCAATTGGGCTGGGCACACATCTATGAATGTAGCAGAATACCGTTAGGAATCATTTCATTGACTTGTTTCTTTTGTTAATCATGTTTGGTTCTACCCTAGGTCTTTGAGCCATCCAACTCCAGATCCTGGCCATCCAGGAAGTGAGGGCATGGGCTCCTTCTGATGGCTTGGGCCTCAAGTTAGACCAGTCATTGCTTGGCCATTCCCACAAGCTCTGAACCGCCTTTGCCCCAGCACATCTTACAGGCAGGACAGATATGGGACACTGGACGCCTTGCCTGGCTACAGAAAATGGCCTCTTCAGGCTCTGTATCCTCCATCACTAGAGTCCTCACTAGGAAGTTCCAGGAAGTTTCCACTGCACTAGGTTTCCACATTGCCCCCCATTCCAGTTGTCTTGCCTGTACTCTCTCCCTCCATCCCTCCAAAACTAGCTTTTAACTTAGCTTTTGCTTATTGTCTTGATAACTGACAAGAGAGTACAAAGAAATATCTAAAATGTTTAACTCTGTCTGAGGGTAGAGGAGAAATTATTAACTCTCATTTTTTCTTTGTATCCGTACTTAACTTACAAATGCTCTACCATGGTCTGCATTGCTCTTGTATTGACAGAAACCAAATCTTTTGAGCTGGCACAGAAGCGTCACAAAGCAATGAGACAACAAATGGCAGGCGTCTTATGCATTGTGTTCTCATTGGTCAGAAAGAAATCACTTGGTTTGCTTTTCATTCTTTGCATCTTAAAACTTTGTTCTTTTGAGATGGGGCTCACTCTTAGTCCAGGCTGGCCTGGACTGTGGCAATCCTCCTGCCTCAGCTTTACAATTCTGAGATTACGGCTATAAATCATCACACCTTTGCTAATTTATCAATACAATCTTAAATCCAAAAGCAAACTCTAATATACATACCAATAATAAAGCAGGCTTGGTGGCTTGTGCCTGTAGTCTCAGCTCTGTGGAGGAAAAGCCAGATCACCCTCGGCTACCTAGCAAGTTTGAGGCCAGCCTGGGATGCGTGAGACCTTGTCTCTAAATAAACTAATCATTTGTATGAACCCAGCTAAATATGTTGAGTGAGGTGTATAAGTGCTGAGAGGATTTTCTTGCTGTTTTATGATGTGATGATCATACACACAGAAGTTCCAGGAGCGGAAGTGTGGGGTGGGTGGGAAGAGCACAGGCTGAGGCAAAGTGTGGGACTCTTCCAGGGCCTCGCCTGGGTGTCAGCTCACAGTGTGCACATCCACCCTCTCTTGTAATTGTCTTATACATATTTGATGTTGGCTTCAAGCCCAACTATAAAGTGTGCTTCTTTAATGTAAATAATATTGATTAAAACAATGAATTTACCAGCAGTAAAAAGAACATTTACTGGTAATATTTTCCTCCTCCTTCCCTGTGCACTCTCCCTTAGTAATCTTTGTGTGTGTATCTGTCATTGGCACATTAACAAACGTTGCAGCCCTGAGTTGTCATCCTTATGCTGTGCCCTCTCTGTGGTCTGGTGGCATAACAGGGCAGGTCACCTACAAGGAAGTCGGTGCTCCCAGGTCTAGAGACTGCAAGGTGTAATGAGTTTGGGTTGGGGTGGAGAGGTAAGACTGGCCGTTCTGGAACTCACTCTGTAAACCAGGCTGGCCGCGAACTCACAGAGGTTTGTCGGCCTCTGCCTCCCGAGTGCTGGGATTAAAGACGTGCAGCACCACCGCCTTACTATAATTATGTTTTAAGAGAAAACGAAGTGCTGTCAGCATCCTGCCTCTGCCAAATGTCAGGCTTGCTCTGTGTGTCTTTCCTAAATATTTTTTGTTTTGTTTTTGGTTTTGTTTTTTAATTTAGGTTTGCGTTTCTTGGTTCGTCTCTGCACAGATATCGGATTAAAAGAAGTTCAAGAATATGCCACAAAACTCAAGCGGTTGGAAAAAATGAAAGAAATGAGGGAGCAGGTATCTCATGTGGGCCGGAAACTATTGTCTGTTAATTTTCAAAATGTCAGCCTGCTGTAGCTGAAATGCACGGGGTTAGGAGCTTACATCACAGCAGAACTGTAATTTTACTCAACAGTAGCAAAAAATGAAATTTTCTGGAAAATGAATTGAAGAATGATTCATAAAAACTCAGAGAGAGAAATTGAAGTTCAACCTGAGGGTCAGAAAAGCAAAGCAGCCAGCCACTGGCTCTTACCTCAGCCTCAGTCCGAAATGGCGATCCTGCCTCCAGGAATCTCAGAATGAGACTGAGCCTGAGAACTGTCTCCTCCCGTTTTATATTCCTCTCTAGTGCTGGGATTAAAGGCATGCACTGCCAGGTTTCTATGGCAACTAGTGTGGCTACTAGGATTAAAGGTGTGTGTAACCTCTGCCTGGTCTGTAAGGCTGAGCAGTGGGGCTGTTTTACTCTCTGATCTTCAGGCAAACTTTATTTATTACAAATGAAATATCACTACAGTGAATAGATCTGGAAAGTATAATGTTAAGTGAGGCAACTTAAACTCTGTAAGACAAAACCACGTGTTCTCTCTCATGTGTGCATCCCGTGTGTGTGTGTGTCGCCGAAACCTAGAAAGGAGACCAAGAGAAGGTGAAAATAGGTAATGAGGAAGGCTGGGGATATGCATAAGACACATTAAACTTGAAAGAGAAAAGAGATGGGTGAGGGGCACAAGAGAGAACCAAGGGTGGCAGGCCGTGGAAGAGTTGATGGGAAGGCGACTCTACTAAACCCTGTTCTGTTCAAAATGCTGTGATGATATCTATACTGTGAATGCCAATTTTCACAACAAAAAAGAAATATCTTAGAAGTCAATACAGAACTAACTTTACTTGTCAATACTAAAATCTGAGAATGATGTGTACATTTGCAGGCACTTAAGCGGCATTTCCAGTGCAGCCATTTTGTTTTTACTGTTTAGGTGATAGTGGTTTGCCTAGAAAATAAAGTAATGCCGGGCAGTGGTGGCACACACTTTTAATCCTAGCACTCGGGAGGCAGAGGTAGGTGGATCTCTGTGAGTTCCAGGCCAGCCTGGTCTACAAGAGCTACTTCCAGGACAGCCTCTAAAGCTACAGAGAAACCCTGTCTCAAAAAAATAAAATTAAAATTAAAAAAAAATAAAGTAATGATAAAATGAAGAACAGTATATAAAGCAGAGTTGAAGAGCTGGGCTGTATCTCAATGATACCTCACTTTCTTAGTGAGCGTGCGCAGGACCTGGGTTCAGTTCCTAGCATGGCAGGAAGAGGCAGAATTGAACTGCTTTTTCCTCTCTATTGTAATGGAAATATCTCTGAAATTATCTCAGGAGGGCAGCTTCTAGGATAGAACTCCAGATGGCTTCTGTGGAGTCCCTAGCAGAGGGTTACTGATAGATGGATAATTTCCATTCTCCAGAGGAGGAAGTAACTGAGAGATTGTTTGTCGCTTGCTGTGGCGTCAGGGCTTTGCTCCTGAGGTCCCTGTGGCAGCACAGTGCAGAGAAGCATTGTCGGCGCATTTCTGCAGCAGATGGATAGCAAGGTTCCCACTTGCCCTACTCCCCACACCTGAGCCTAGAGCATCCAGCGTGATCGTGAGCTTTGAATGTTTGCCCGTTACCAAGAAAACATATGTTCTTAAAGCTAATATTGATATATTGAAATTAAAACTCTCTTTTTGTTTCTTTGTTGTTTTGAGACAAGATCTCACTATGTAGCCCTGGTTGTCCTGGAACTCGCTCTGTAGGCCAGGCTGCCTTGAACTCACAGAGATCCTCCTGCCTCTACCTCCCTAGTATTGGGGTTAAAGGCAAGCACCACAACATCCAGCTAGAAATAAAATTCTAGGCGAGGCTTAGTGTTGCGGCACTGACTTTTATGCAGTTATCCTGGTTGTAGAGAGGATCTAATTCTCACGTGCTTGCAGAATGTGGCTGGCTGGCTTCGCTTCTCAGATGTGATCCAATATCCTATAAAAATATTATGAGCAAACTAGTTTTACTTTAAAAGTCCTATAAAACATCAAGTTGATGTTTATTTGCCAAGCGAGGCTACACCATTAAAATGTGCTGTAATAGCCAGTCTGCACCGTACCAAAGCTAATGACATAGCTGTGAGAGGCTGGTGACACACGCCGCTGTAAGGAGAAGTTCAGGTGACTATAACTGTAATTATGTATTTAATAGGAGTCGAAAAAGTATGTATTTAAATGAAGCACATTTTGGAATTGAATTCGTTGTTGGGGCCCCTCATGCAGAACCATGGGAGCGTGTGCAAAGATGAGTCTCTTACTGAACAAGCATGCCTGAGTTCTGAGTCTTTACAGTCTACAGTAAGCCCAAACTTCTACAGATACCATTAGTCACTTCTGCGCCTCCGGCCCTGGTCCTGCTTTCCTAGACTTCCAAGAAGAATTCTGTCTCCGCCCTCAAAAGTAGTCTCTTGGCTTCTTGGCACTTGTGGGTAGTTCATAAGCAACCTTTGTTTTGTTTTGGAGACAGGGTCTCACTATGTAGCCCATCCTTACGAGTTACATGGAACTCTCTGTGCAGCTCAAGTTGGCCTCAAACTAATGGCAATCCTTTTTCCTCAGCCTGATGGAATTATAGGTATGTACCACTGCACCAAGGCCACAATGGCTTAACTTTATTGTAAGCGTAAGCTTTAAAGAACATTGATTGTGGGCTGGAAAGATGAGATGGCTCAGTGGCTAAGAGCACCAGCTGCTCTTCCAGAGGTCCTGAGTTCAATTCCCAGCTACCACATGGTGGCTCATGACTATATATAGTGGGATCCTGATCTGGCATGTAGGTGCACATGCAGATAGAGCACTCATATACATAAAATAAATAAATAAACCTTAAAGAAACATTGATTGCAAAAACTTTCTGAGCAATGAAATTTGGGGATTAAGTATACTTAGAGTTCCTTTTCTCACAGTATTTTCAGTTCTCCACTAATAAAATACCATCTTAACTTTGAGCTGAGTTGGGTCAATGTGGTTGCTGTTCATTCTTCATTTCTGTGGGAGTCACTTTTGCCTCTGCTCTGTCTCCCTTGGCCCTTGTATCTTCTCTTGCCCTCTTTCACCTTATTACAGTCTCTATAGTAGTGGGACCCTTCTTAAAATCCGACTGACATCTTTAGACTGATATTCCAGGAACTAAAAGACATTACTGAATTTAAATGACTACAGTGACATCATTGGACCCACTCTTCATTCTTATTCCTGCTCAGCCTTTTCGTTTCTCTGCATCAGAATGTTTGTATGTTCATTAAGGAGCACAGACCTGAAGAAATAAAGCTCCCTTCTTATGGTGAAAAGAATGGTTTCTTCTGAGGATCCATCCTAATGGGGATTAGACCAGGATCTGGCAAGCCTTGTTGTCATCGGGAGGGTGCAATCAATCATGGAAACTGTACATCAGAGGAACAAACCGTTTGTCAGGGACCCTCAGGGATTAAAGAAATCTTTTTAACAAATAATTGATTTCTTTCTCTGCCGCTAATTCTTATTCCTGGATGGCTCCCTCAGACTCTTCTGTGTCTCACCTATCACCACGTCAACAGCTCCGCCCACTCAGGGCCTCAGATACTGCATTGCTAGGGTCAGGGTAACCTGTGACGCCCACTGTCATGTAGACGTGTTCTGTCATTACAGCTTTCCCTAAATGGTTCATACTCTACCTCAATCTTCAGTTTCCTCAGAACCTTTGACTTCTACAGACTCTGTGCTCCCTGTTTTTCTTTTCTCCCCTCCACCCATAATTCTGTTTACATAAGAGCATTGTTTTTGGCCCATGCCTTTAATCCCAGCACTCTGGAGGCAGAGGCAGGCGGATCTCTGTGAGTTCGAGGCCAACCTGCTCTCCAGAGCCAGTGCCAGGACAGCCAGGACTATACAAAGAAACCCTGTCTCAAAAACATTTAAAAAAAAAAAAAGGAAATAAGAAAAAACAAATAAGAAAGAAAGAAAAAAGGAAAAAAACTGTTTTCTTTGATCTTCAGTGTTTCTTTTTGCATCATGCATCAAAGAAACATTTTCTGGGTGGTCTCTTCCTTAAGTTTGAGTTATCAGCATGGAGTGGAGAGGAGCAGGGTCAGAGATAGATCGAAGGAATAAGAAGGGCTGAAAGAGGAAGGATGGACACATGGGAAAGTCACCTTCTCGAATAATTGGTGTGGGTCCCATCTCGGTTGGTTGGTCTTAGATTGTGAGCCTATGGCGCAGGTCTCTGTTTCCTGGTTTCTACAAGGGAAAAAAAAAAAACATTATTAGTTATGGGAGAAAATATAATAAATTTCTGAATTAAGGATATTCTCTTCTAAAGTTGAAGCTTTATCTGTGTGTTTCTTGCTTACAATCCTTAGGGTTTTTTTCTTCTGTAATTAAATTTTCTTCAGAGACATCATTGTTGATACCTATATAGGTATATTTTAATTTATTGAAACATTTCCACATTTCTGGGCTCTCCCGTGTCTTTTTTAAATACAGTTTTCTATGACCAGTCAGATTTTCAGGGGTTTGTTTGTTTATTTGTTTTGTTTTGTTTTGCTGTAGTTATTAACCCCTATAATTTTATTTGTGAGTTCTTCCTGCAAGAGAAGTTGACCAGAGACATTCTGTGCAATGGCCATGTGACTGAATTCAAGACTATTTTTATCACAGCTGGCTTTTACCTGGAATTGCTGGAGAATCCAGAACTAACTAACCCTGTGATCAGAAAGTAAGAGGGATGCAGGGGTTGGCAACAGGAAAGAGAGCCAGAGCCAAGAGCTTGGGTGACCCTAACAGTCTTCTCTGTGTTCCTAGTGGCAGCTTTCCCTCTATTAACTTTAGTATGTTAACTGCACTAGACAGTAATTGTAACCATGGGGACTGGGGTGTAGCTCGAGCTGAAGTACCTGCTGAGTGTGTGGGAGGCCTGGATTCTATCCCCAGCACTGCAGATGAAAACAACAGCTTATGTTTA